CCATGCTGCCCTAGGTCTTGTAACTGGTGGGTATCTAGATGGGTGGTGATCTTGCTTCTTAGAACCCTTTCAAAGATTTTTATATGGGACATTAGTGCTATCGGTCTGTAGTTCTTAGCTACTGCTTTACTGCCCCCTTTGTGGAGTGGGGCTATGTCTGTTGTTTTTAGCAACTGTGAGACGACCCCAGTGTCCAAGCTCTCTCTCCACATATTAAAAGCACGTGATAGGGGCTTCTCGCAGTTCTTGATGAACACGGAGTTCCACGAGTCTGGGCCTGGGGCAGAGTGCATGGGCATGTAATTTATAGCCTTTTCCAAGTCATGTGGTATCAGGATAATATCAGGTAAGTGTGTGTGTACCAAATTCTTTCTCTCTCTCATAAAAAATTCATTTAGGTCTTCGACCCTCAGTCTGGTTAGTGGCTCGCTAAAAACTGAGCCATATTGGGACTTTAGTAGCTCACTTATTTCCTTGCTGTCATCTGTGTAGGACCCATCCCGTTTAAGTAGGGGCCCAATACTGGATGTTGTTCTAGACTTTGATCTGGCATAAGAATAGAAATACTTTGGGTTTCTTTCAATTTCATTTATGGCTTTTAGTTCTTCCCACATTTCTTGACTCCTGTAAGATTCCTTTGGCTTTACTTCAATATTAGCTATTTCTCTGACCAGTGTTTCCCTAAGTATTGCAGATATATCGGCCTCTTGTAGCTGCTCTGTTATTCTTTGCCTTCGTCTGTATGGGGAGTGCCTTTCTCTCTCTAGTTTACATCTAGTTTACAAGTGCCACAGAGTTAATTTGTTCTAGACATAGGGTAGGATCCATGTTGCTTAGTCTATCTATGGTTTACTTGGTCCCACCTTATGTTTTTGTTATTGAAATTGAATTTGGTGAAGGCGGCTCCCTCATGATTGATCATATTTTGTCAGTCCGGGGCTCCTGCATACATGTCTGGACCTCTATTATGTTGTGATCCAAGTATACTGTTTTTGATATGATAATATTTCGTATCAGATTATTGTTAGCTAAGGTGAGGTCCAGTATATTCTCCAATCTTGTAGGCTCTATTATTTGCTGGTTTAAGGTGAATTTGGCCTACAGATTTAAAAGCTTGTGTGTGTGCGATTTCTCACCTGAGCTGCCTCCTGGTGTTATCTTTGCTACCACATTATTTGCTATATTCCTCCATTTTAGGTGCCTTGGGTAGAAATCCCCCTGGAGCAAGATGTTTGGGGCAGGAGCTGGAAGATTTTCCAGACAGTGGTCAATTTTCGAAAGCTGTTCCTGGAACTGTTGGGACATTGCATCCGAGGCTTGTATACAACCATGATGACCAGGTTTTGGTTCTTGATCTTAACTGCTAAAACTTCCACTACATCATATGATGCATTTAGTAGTTCTTTCTTTCTTTCAACATACCAGCCATATCCCACCGAGGTGGGGTGGCCCAAAAGAAAAAACTGAAGTTTCTCCTTTTAAATTTAGTAATATATACAGGAGAAGGGGTTACTAGCCCCTTGCTCCTGGCATTTTAGTCACCTCTTACGACACGCATGGCTTACAGAGGAAGAATTCTGTTCCACTTCCCCATGGAGATAAGAGGAAATAAACAAGAACAAGAATTAGAAAGAAAATAGAAGAAAACCCAGACGGGTGTGTATATATATGCTTGTACATGTATGTGTAGTGTGACCTAAGTGTAAGTAGAAGTAGCAAGACTTACCTGTAATCTTGCATATTTATGAGACAGACAAAAGACACCAGCAATCCTACCATCATGTAAAACAATTACAGGCTTTCGTTTTACACTCACTTGGCAGGACGGTAGTACCTCCCTGGACGGCTGCTGTCTACCAACCTACTACCTACCTAGTAGTTCTGAGCATATAAGTGACTGTGATATACAGGCCTACCCCCCTCCTGCCTGCTCACTCTGTCACATCTGTATAGGTTGTAACCCGGGACCCATATTTCATTGTTGAAGTGATCCTTTATGTGGGTCTCTGTGAAAACTGCGAGCATTGCATTTGACTCCGTAAGCAGTCCACGGATGAAAGGTATTTTGTTATTCGTTTCTGGCTTTAGACCCTGTATATTGCAAAGTTGAATGTCGTCAGATTGGTGGTACAAGGGGGGTGGAGGTCCTTTTCCCTGGCACTAATATCTGTTGTTTTGGAGTGGAGGCTATCGACTGTGATTCCACTCCAGAAACGATTGGAGTTGGCGTACAATTTCTACCATTTCCTGCCAGCTTTGTTTTCCTTCCTGGCGCTAAAAAAATCTCTCTCTCTGAAGTGGCTGTGGCTACCCAGGTTTTCCCATGGTCTGGATGTTCTGTGTCTTGTACCCTTTAGGTGGTATGGTTGACAATTTAAGTTATAGCACTGTCTTCCCTGAACTGAAGAGTGACACATTTCAGGGTGGAAAAACTTACAGGAAGGGAGGTTGCATTTTCCTGTTGTCATATGGACACAGCATTTTCTTTGGTGGTCAAAGTTGCACGTCTCTTCTGTTTTTCCAGATATTCCATGCCTGCAGATACCAAGTGAATAGTATTTGCATATACCTGGTTTCTGTTTGCCTTGGTTTTTTGTGACTGTATTCTCTACTGGTGTATGTTCTCCTGTCTCATATCTATCTTTAGCATTAAAGCTAACAATGGAGCCTTCATTAGTTCTTTCTGGTAATTTATCTTCACTATTTCTCAGGGCATCCCATTGTTTACTATCTCCTGTGGTATTGCTAGTTTGTAACATTGGTTTTTGCATGTCCTTGTCCTTGTCTACGCCTGTTTTCCCACTAGAGCTCTCGACCCCCTCCAGGCCACCCTCGTTTATTTCTCTATTCTTACAATTACTGTCTACCAGACAGCATTTGTACCCAGGGCGATAGCATCATGTGGCCAAGATTTTTTATTTTCCAAACTGTTATAGAATGCTGTCATTTTTTTTATGAATGCCATTTTGATGTTATCATCTTTTATTATCAATGTGATTTTATTCCACAGTGTGGTCTCACTTGGGCATACCCAAAAACACTTCCCTGGTTTAATATCTCTTGTAGATACCTGAATACCTGCACAAGGGGCATGGGTCCATTTCCCACAGAAATTGCATGTAATTCATACAGAAGCCAGATTGTTTGTTTGGTTGCAGACTACATAGGATTTCATGATGTGATTTTATTGGTTGTTTTACTGTATATTCTAATAATAGCTTCCTTAAAGTGGAGATTTGTCAATCTGTCTTGTATCTATTTTATTTTTTCCAACGGATTCCATTCATATTCCACCACACTGTTTGTGAAGATATTAACTTTCTAGTATCCTTGCAGCACCACTACTTTCTTAGATTGTAATTGTGGCACACTGTTCCCCTTTTTGATGGTTTTAAGAAATTAGTGTGATCTAATCTCTCGTATGTGTTTATGATACGTCCTCCTATAAGCCAACATTATTTTCTTTGGAATGTGTACATATTTTCTCCATGGGGAAGTGGAACAGAATTCTTCCTCCGTAAGCCATGCGTGTTGTAAGAGGCGACTAAAATGCTGGAAGCAAGGGGCTAGTAACCTCTTCTCCTGTATATATTACTAAATGTAAAAGGAGAAACTTTCGTTTTTCCTTTTGGGCCACCCCACCTCGGTGGGATACGGCCAGTGTGTTGAAAGAAAGTGTACATATTTTTGTTTTGTAGCTCTGAATGCCATTTAGTAGCATGGATGCACGCGCGCACACACACGCACGCACGCACACACGCACGCGCGCACACACACGCATGCGCACACACACACACGCACACATGCGTGCGTGTGTGATCTGTAAAATTTACAGTGAACAAGATCAAATATCATCCTAAATTTAGTTAGTTTTATTTAACACCAAAGAAATAATTTTGCAATGTTCACTCATTTTTGTGAGCTACAGCAAATATTAACATAATAAATGATCTGTATAGTATAGTATAGTATAGTAGTACCAACAGTCTTATATGGATGTGCAGCTTGGGTGGTAAATGCAGCAGCGAGGAGACGGTTGGAGGCAGTGGAGATGTCCTGTCTAAGTGCAATGTGTGGTGTAAATATTATGCAGAAAATTTGGAGTGTGGAAATTAGGTGTGGAGTTAATAAAAGCATTAGTCAGAGGGCAGAAGAGGGGTTGTTGAGGTGGTTTGGTCATTTAGAGAGAATGGATCAAAGCAGAATGACATGGAAAGCATATAAATCTATAGGGGAAGGAAGGCTGGGTAGGGGTCGTCCTCGAAAGGGTTGGAGAGAGGGGGTAAAGGAGGTTTTGTGGGCAAGGGGCTTGGACTTCCAGCAAGCGTGCATGAGCGTGTTAGATAGGAGTGAATGGAGACGAATGATACTTGGGACCTGACGATCTGTTGGAGTGTGAGCAGGGTAATATTTAGTGGAGGGATATGTTGTTTATCTTTACAAGTATATGCTTCTAAACTGTTGTATTCTGAGCACCTCTGCAAAAGCAGTGATAATGTGTGAGTGTGGTGAAAGTGTTGAATGATGATGAAAGTATTTTCTTTTTGGGGATTTTCTTTCTTTTTTGGGTCACCCTGCCTCGGTGGGAGACAGCCGACTTGTTGAAAAAAAAAAAAAATGATCTGTATATTTGTTTAAATAATCCCAGCTTTATGGGCCACAGGTTTCATATCTCAGAACAGGGCAATGAAAATTTAATGCAGTATTTACAAGAGATAAAAATTTTGGTCTGTAATATCTTCTTACTCTTCAGTTCCTGAACACCCGATTTAATCAATTAACATTCACCTAATTTATACAGTAATATTTAGAGATGCTTTAAGCACTTTAATTGTACAACAGCATTTTAACTGCATTTGCAAGCTTTGTTTTTCAAACTCTATAAATTTTATTCTAAAATCTAACTCAATATGGTAAAATGGCCTTAAATTTTTAAATTTGCAAGAAATCATTACAAACAAACCTTCACTAAAGTTACCATACCTTCACACAAAACTTACTGAAATCAGATGGTTTAGCTTGACTAAGATCTTTATAAAATTCTGTGCGATGAGACTTTTTCATCCCTGTACATAAGCCAAAGTCCGATAATTTTATATGTCCTCTGGCGTCTAATAATAGATTGTCGGGCTTGATGTCCCTGAAAAATACAATGGAGAAAGAATAATATATTGCTTGTCAACTATGGTTTTGCAAGCAAAATGCGCAATTCAGAACAAATAAGAGGCTCAAATACCTTCTTATTTCTAACTAAAATTTTACTAAGAAATATCAACAAAACAGAACATCTTGTCTACCTTCATAATTATGAAATAATATTCCATTAGAATATTGGTTATAAGCATTTTTTATACCGAGATAAACAATGGCAAAGCCCTGGTTATATTTCTGAATTTAAAGGAAACAACAAAACCTTACATTACAAATATCCACTTTTTTTTTTTTTTGCAAGCAACAAAGGGAAGCATTTACAAGAGAGACTTCCATATAAAATAGAGATCACACATGGCCAAAGAATAGTTTCTGGTTAGGAAAATCTCAAACAGCAGAAAATTTTCACAATATTAATGTATCATACTAGACCACAACTCACCTGTGAATGAAACCCAGCTTATGAATAGAATCTATAGCTAAAGCAGTTTCAGCAATGTAGAATTGGGTGCATTCCTCCGATAGCGTGTCTTTCTTCATTAAAAGCGTCATCATATCGCCTGAAGAAAGAGAAATACAGTAGTATTGTATATTAGGTATTTCAAACATAACCTCTTGCTACAATCACACATTAAATAATACTGGGTAGGATGTTCAAATGAGTAAAACAAAATCACTAAATCCAAGAAACCCACAAGATTTATTCTATCAATCTATCTTGCTAAATCTTCTTTAAATGACTTGAAATCATCTCAGCAATCCCTCTTCCATATCCTCAATTTATGTCTTCCATTTGCAGAATATCATCTACTTTTTTCACTGGTTTTCTGTATAATATCCACACCACATATTAATGTAAACACAGTTCCACTGCCTCCAGCCTCTTTCCTGTTCCAATATTCAAAGAACATGCCTTACATCCATACAAAATTATTGGCAACAGTGTAACTAAGAAAGATTCTCTTTTTTTTTTTTTTTTTTTTTTTTTTAATCCAATGTAAAGTACTTCTTTCTACACTCATCTTTTCAACTCTTTGCTGACACATCCACTCCTGAATATCTAAATATATGTGATTATTTTGGCTAGTTTTGCCATGTGTCTCTCCAGTCTGACATTTATGCTTTCATTGGCAAAATTACTACAAACTATATCACCCTACTCAATTATGTGTTCACTTTTAAACTTCCTGTTTTTACACACACTTCCAAACTCTACCAACCATTGCAATTTTTCTTCTGGTCCTCTCAAGAGCACTGCTATCATCAAATAGTAACTGTCACTACTCTCACTTTATATCAGATTTACTGTATTATCGTTACTGCTAAAGTAGCGAAATCACTTCACGCAAGTATCAACTTACCACCAGCAAGAAACTCCATCACTAGGTACAAATTAATGGGGTCTTGAAATGAATAAAACATCTTGACTACCCACTGATGATCAGCTTCCACCAATACATCTCTTTCAGCTCTCACATGAGCTACCTGAAAATACGGTACAAATCTATATAAAAAAAATGCCTCTCAAAAGAGTCTTATTTTCAGAGCACAATTACAAGAGTGACTTGGAAATTAAAATTAAGATGAGTGTGTATTACCTCCAACCTAACACCAAATGAACCAAAATAAACAATTTTATTTTATAGTTAATGAAAGTAATTAAGAACATGTACCTCTATGCTTGCTGAATTAGTTAAATGAAAAATTATCAAGACTAATTATCCAGTTGAAAGAGGGGAAGGTACCTAGGGATTGGCGGAGAGCATGTATAGTCCCTTTATATAAAGGGAAAGGGGACAAAAGAGACTGTAAAAATTATAGAGGAATAAGTTTACTGAGTATACCAGGAAAAGTGTACGGTAGGGTTATAATTGAAAGAATTAGAGGTAAGACAGAATGTAGGATTGCGGATGAGCAAGGAGGTTTCAGAGTGGGTAGGGGATGTGTAGATCAAGTGTTTACATTGAAGAATATATGTGAACAGTATTTAGATAAAGGTAGGGAAGTTTTTATTGCATTTATGGATTTAGAAAAGGCATATGATAGAGTGGATAGAGGAGCAATGTGGCAGATGTTGCAAGTATATGGAATAGGTGGTAAGTTATTAAATGCTGTAAAGAGTTTTTATGAGGATAGTGAGGCTCAGGTTAGGGTGTGTAGAAGAGAGGGAGACTATTCCCGGTAAAAGTAGGTCTTAGACAGGATGTGTAATGTCACCATGGTTGTTTAATATATTTATAGATGGGGTTGTAAAGGAAGTAAATGCTAGGGTGTTCGGGAGAGGGGTGGGATTAAATTTTGGGGAATCAAATTCAAAATGGGAATTGACACAGTTACTTTTTGCTGATGATACTGTGCTTATGGGAGATTCTAAAGAAAAATTGCAAAGGTTAGTGGATGAGTTTGGGAGTGTGTGTTAAGGTAGAAAGTTGAAAGTGAATATAGACAAGAGTAAGGTGATGAGGGTATTAAATGATTTAGATAAAGAAAAATTGGATATCAAATTGGGGAGGAGGAGTATGGAAGAAGTGAATGTTTTCAGATACTTGGGAGTTGACGTGTCGGCGGATGGATTTATGAAAGATGAGGTTAATCATAGAATTGATGAGGGAAAAAAGGTGAGTGGTGTGTTGAGGTATATGTGGAGTCAAAAAACGTTATCTATGGAGGCAAAGAAGGGAATGTATGAAAGTATAGTAGTACCAACACTCTTATATGAGTGTGAAGCTTGGGTGGTAAATGCAGCAGCGAGGAGACAGTTGGAGGCAGTGGAGATGTCTTGTTTAAGGGCAATGTGTGGTGTAAATATTATGCAGAAAATTCGGAGTGTGGAAATTAGGAAAAGGTGTGGAGTTAATAAAAGTATTAGTCAGAGGGCAGAAGAGGGGTTGTTGAGGTGGTTTGGTCATTTTGAGAGAATGGATCAAAGTAGAATGACATGGAAAGCATATAAATCTATAGGGGAAGGAAGGCGGGGTAGGGGTCGTCCTCGAAAGGGTTGGAGAGAGGGGGTAAAGGAGGTTTTGTGGGCAAGGGGCTTGGACTTCCAGCAAGCGTGCGTGAGCGTGTTAGATAGGAGTGAATGGAGACGAATGGTACTTGGGACCTGACGATCTGTTGGAGTGTGAGCAGGGTAATATTTAGTGAAGGGATTCAGGGAAACCGGTTATTTTCATATAGTCGGACTTGAGTCCTGGAAATGGGAAGTGCAATGCCTCCACTCTAAAGGAGGGGTTTGGGATATTGGCAGTTTGGAGGGATATGTTGAGTATCTTTATATGTGTATGCTTCTAAACTCTTGTATTCTGAGCACCTCTGCAAAAACAGTGATAATGTGTGAGTGTGGTGAGAGTGTTGAATGATGATGAAAGTATTTTCTTTTTGGGGATTTTCTTTCTTTTTTGGGTCACCCTGCCTCGGTGGGAGACGGCCGACTTGTTGAAAAAAAAAAAAATTATCCAGATGCTGTAAATAGTTTAAAAGAAAAATGTCCATTAACTTAAGATTACTGTACCAGTAATGTGTGTAACTTGTGAAGCCCCTTTAATAAAAAAGGTGAAATATACAGTAGGGCCCCTGCATTTTTGGCTCCCTCTCTTCAGTGTCCCACTATTTCAGCAGTCCATTAATAATGGTGATACAGTATTCCTATTCAAACTGTATGCTGGTGCTTGCCAAGACAGAATAATAATACAAGAATGTGTGTGTTACAGTAGATAAACTCTGACATCACAATTCCAGTGCCTCCTAAAAAGCAACATCCCCTTCAATCTGGTACTCAAGAACTCAAGTCTGGCTAACTGATTTCTGATTCCCTTCATACCAACAGATGCTACTCTGCTTACACTCCACCAACATCTTAGATACTAATGACAATGTACCGAATAGAGATGGCAGAAGTGTAAAATACACCCAGCGAAATGCTAGGGCATCATGAAGACAATAAGACTACTTTAACCTGTTACAGCAGATATCTGAAATACTGCTGGAACGACTGCAGAAGTTTTCAAGTCCTCTACCTCACTCACTACCTCTGTCAAGTACAGTGGTAACTTGACTTATGAGTGCCCCAACTTATGAGTTTTTTGAATTACGAGCCGTCGCTCGGTAACCTCCATTTCAACTCAGAGTTTTCTAGAAACATTAAGGTGGGTGGAGTAGTGATGGTGGTGGGTTGAGTAGTGATGGCAGTCGGTGGAGTAGTGATAGTGGTGGGTGGAGTACTGATAGTGGTAGGTGGAATAGTCATGGCAGTCGGTGGAGTAGTGATAGTGGTGGGTGGAGTACTGATAGTGGTAGGTGGAGTACTGATAGTGGTGGGTGGAGTACTAATAGTGGTGGGTGGAGTAATGATAATGGTGGGTGTAGTAGTCATGGTGGTGGGTGGAGTGGTGATAGTGGTGGGTGGAGTGGTGATAGTGGTGGGTGGAGTACTGATAGTGGTGGGTGGAGTACTGATAGTGGTGGGTGGAGTACTAATAGTGGTGGGTGGAGTAGTGATAATGGTGGGTGTAGTAGTCATGGTGGAGGGTGGAGTGGTGATAGTGGTGGGTGGAGTACTGATAGTGGTGGGTGGAGTAGTAATAATGGGGGGTGGAGTAGTGATAATGGTGGTGGGTGGAGTAGTGATGGTGTTGGGTGGAGTAGTGATGGTGTTGGGTGGAGTAGTCATGGTGGTGGGTGGAGTAGTCATGGTGGTGAGTGTAGTCATAGTGGTGGGTGGAGCACTGATAGTGGTAGGTGGAATAGTAATGGTGGTGGGTGGAGTAGTGATGCTGGTGGGTGGAGTAGTGATGCTGGTGGGTGGAGTAGTCATGGTGGTGGGTGGAGTAGTCATGGTGGTGGGTGGAGTAGTCATGGTGGTGAGTGTAGTCATAGTGGTGGGTGGAGTACTGATAGTGGTAGGTGGAATAGTGATGGTGGTGGGTGGAGTAGTGATGGTGGTGGGTGGAATAATGGTGGTGGTGGGTGGAGTAATGATGGTGGTGGGTGGAGTAGTGATGGTGGTGGGTGGAGTAGTGATAATGGTGGGTGGAGTAAATGTGGAGGGTGGAGTTGTGAGAGTGGTGGGTGTAGCAGAGATGGTGGTGGGTGGAGTAGAGATGGTGGTGGGAGAAGTGAGGGTGGTGGATGGAGTAGTGATAATGGTGGAGGAGTAGATATGGTGGTGGGTATAGTGAGGGTGGTGGGTGTAGTAGAGATGGGGGTGGGTGAAGTAGCGAAGGTGGTGGGTGGAGTATACAATATTTCTTATTTATAAATACATTTTTCTTATTTAAAAACCCGTAACAAACAAATTGGGGTTGTTTTGGGGGGGGGGTGTAATGGATTAATGGCATTTCAATTAATTTCAATGAGGAAAATTGTTTTGATATACAAACAAACTGAGTTACAAGCTCGGTCATGGAACAAATTAAACTCGTAAGTCAAGGTATCATTGTACCAGATTGGCAAGCATGCAGGCTGCCAATCACAAAAGCCTTATTGAACAGGAAATCAACAGAAAAGCCTGGCTGCACATGTAGAAAAACTCTCAAAAGGTACAGGCCTTATTTTTTGCATGTCTTCAAGAAGGCACTGGACACGCACCTAAAGTCAGTACCTGACCAACCGGGCTGTGGTTCGTACATCAGTTTGCAAGTGGCCAGCAGTAACAGCCTGGTTGAACAGACCCTGATGCACCATGAAGCTTGGTCTCAGACTGAGCCACAGGGCCATTGACCCCCGAAACCCTCTACAGGTAAACATTAATCTTAAAAACACCTTCACTGCCTCCAGCTACTTCAGTGCTACAATATTCAAAATGCATCACTGACACTGACACTGACACACACACACACACACACTGACACACACACACGCGCGCGCACACACACGCGCGCGCACACACACGCGCGCACACACACACACACACACACACACACACACACACACACACACACACACACACACACACACACACACACACACACCAGTGCTATTCCTGGTATATGTGAATGACATGATAGAAGGGTTAGACTCAGAAGTGTCCCTGTTCGCAGATGATGTGAAGTTAATGAGGAGAATTAAATCAGATGAGGATCAGGTAGGACTTCAAAGAGACCTGGACAGGCTGGACACCTGATCCAGCAACTGGCTTGTCGAATTTAACCACGCCAAATGCAAAGTCATGAAGATCGGGGAAGGGCAAAGAAGACCGCAGATGGAGTATAGGCTAGGTGGTCTCAAAACTCCAGACCGTCGCGTTAGCCACTGGACCAGCTAGCCACAATAAGATTTGTCCAACTAGGTATATTTCTACACCATAGGAAGGTTAGCATAGGCACCACTGTGATCACAGTGGTGCCTATGCTAACCTTCCTATGGTGTAGAAATATATCTAGTTGGACAAATCTTATTGTGGCTAGCTGGTCCAGTGGCTAACGCGAGGGTCTGGAGTTTTGAGACTCTCTGACTGCGGGTTCAATCCCGCCCATGGTATGGTTTATAGGCTTGGTGGCCAAAGACTGCAAAACCTTGCTCAAGGAGAAAGATCTTGGGGTGAGTATAACACCGAGCATGTCTCCGGAAGCACACATCAACCAGATAACTGCTGCAGCATATGGGAGCCTAGCAAATCTGAGAATAGCGTTCTGATACCTTAGTAAGGAATCGTTCAAGACACTGTACACCGTGTACGTCAGGCCCATATTGGAGTATGCAGCACCTGTTTGGAACCCACACTTGATCAAGCACGTCGAGAAATTAGAGAAAATGCAAAGGTTTGCAATAAGGTTAGTTCCAGAGCTAAGGGGAATGTCCTACGAAGATAGGTTAAGGGAAATCAGCCTGAAGACACTGATGGACAGGAGGGTTAGGGGAGACATTATAACAACATACAAAATACTGCATAGAATAGACAAGGTGGACAGAGACAGGATGCTCCAAAGAAGAGACACAAACAAGGGGTCACAATTGGAAGTTGAAGACCCAGATGAGTCAAGGGGATGTTAGGAAGTACAGTGGAACCTCTACTTGCGAGTTTAATCCGTTCCATGACCTTGCTCGCAACTGGACTTGCTTGTTTGCAGAGTCAATTTTCCTCATTTAAATTAACTGAAATGCAATTAATCCATTCCAGTGGAATTCTGTACTTCAATAATTTCGCTAATATCAACTCCTTGGCTTATTTATCTATCTCACTTCATCTAATATGACATAATAAACAATATAAATAACATAGAAACCTGATATATACTCTAAAATGAATAAAATGTCATTCATGTAGTGGTATGGGCGGTGTCAGTGGTGGACGAGAGTTTGTCTGGAGACCGGGCAAAATACTTCATGAATAATTTCGCTAATATCATCTATACGACTTACTTATACTATATCACAGTTCATCTAATATGACATAACAAACAATATAAATAACATAGAAACATGATATATACTCAAGAATGAATAAAATATGTCATTATGTAACAGGTGGAGGCAGCCACAACCACTCCCTCTTTGTTGTGGTAAACACTGCCATCTAGTGACGGCCTTTTGAAGTCGTCTATTATTATAATTATTATATGTAGTACATTATTATTTTTTTTTATATATATATAATAATAGGGATTCAGGGAAACCGGCAGGCCGTACTTGAGTCCTGGAGATGGGAAGTACAGTGCCTGCACTCTAAAGGAGGGGTGTTAATGTTGCAGTTTAAAAACTGTAGTGTAAAGCACCCTTCTGGCAAGACAGTGATGGAGTGAATGATGGTGAAAGTTTTTCTTTTTCGGGTCACCCTGCCTTGGTGGGAATCGGCCAGTGTGTTAATAATAATAAAAAAATATTATATAAATAATTTGTAATTTTTGTTCACACAAAAAATATAAGATTTACTGTTATTCCTTATTGCAATAATTGTATAAATAATGTCAACCCATTCACGACTGCATACTGGAATGGACAGTGACTTCATTTGTTCACTCTGAAACAGCCAAGCAATGGACCATTTCTCCTAGGTTGAGCTCTATTTCAAGGTACTTTTTGTCATGAAAGCTATTAAAATTATATCTATTTCTGTAATATATCTTCCATTCTATCAAATGAGACCAAAAAAAACGAGAATACAACCATAAAAACCATTCAAAATTACTGCAAAGGGGTGGCTAATTGCTGAGAAGTGAACTCCATTATTTATGATTAGATTTCTTTCATTATTGGTGTACATTAAGAAGCATCTTTCCATCATACACTGCCTAAGTTTCAATAAGATAGTCCAACAAATAAATGAGATACAATTCCTGAGATCAAGAGCAAGAGCCCCTCACCAGTGTCAAGGAACCTGCCTTGAGGTCTGCTCGCTTGTGGAAATTTTGCTCGCGTATGGAAGCAAAAAATCGATCCACTGACTGCTCGTATTTGGAAAAACTCGCACGTGGACACACTCGCAAGTAAAGGTTCCACTGTATTTCTTCAGTCATAGAGTAGTCATGAAGTGGAATAGCCTAGCAAGTGAGGTAGTGGAAGAAGGAACCATATATAGATTTAAAGCTCATGGAGCAGGGAAAGAGAGGACCTAGTAGCACTCATTGAAGAGGCAGGGCCAGAAGCTGAGTCTCGACCCCTGCAACCACAATTAGGCAAGTACGTACATACGCATGCACACACACATGCACGCACGCACACGCGCACACACACATGCACGGGGCGGGGCCAGGAGCTCGGACTCGACCCCCGCAACCTCAACTAGGTGAGTACAACTAGGTGAGTACACGCACGCACGCACACGCACGCACACACACGCGCACACACACGCGCACGCACACGCACACATGCACACGCACACGTGCACACACACACACACCAGTGAAGAGGCGGGGCCAGGAGCTCAGACTAGACCCCTGCAACCTCAACTAGGTGAGTACACACACACACACACACACACACATACAAGGAGAGGCATGATAAAGCTCACGGTACAGGGAGAGTGACCTAGTACCGACCAGTGAAGAGGCGGGGCCAGGAGCTTGGACTCAACCCCTGCAACCTCAACTTGGTGAGTACAACTAGGTGAGTACACACACACACACACACACACACACACACACACACACACACACAAAAGGGTTGGTCCCACTTTACCCTTGATACATTACCCTTTCTGCAATTATTAATAAACCTTTACTACTTCCCACAGATCCTCAACACCCTAAATATTTTTTTCCTTCATCTATTCCATAAAAACAAAATTGAACAGTATGAAAGCAAACCTCTCAATGGATAGGAAGAGGAGTGTAAGGGATCTGCACAGTGAAATAACACCTTATAAAAGTAGGAGGCATAACATTGTAAAGTTTTTTAAAAGGTACAATAATAACTATTTCAAATTAACATAAGTCGCCTCCAATAAAATATGTAAAGGATATCGTACTCTTCCCATTACTTTACAAAGGGAAGATCCCAATTAAGGTAGAAGTGCTGCATGTCTTATTCATCTATAAATCAAGGTTGGAATCATTGTAGAGAGACCTTCCCAATGTATTCTACACTATTATAATTTTGGAAACATTTAAAAAGTAAAAATGGGATTGAAATCACAGACGTGTTTTTAACAGAATACATACTACAGTATACTTTGAGTGCTTCAACTATATAATGTTTCACAGGCTATAACTTTTGTGATTCTACTGTATACTGGTGATGCAAATAACTTTTAGATTACACACACCTGTTCTTTCTCCAACATATCTGCTTTTCTTAAGATTTTCATTGCATAGACATGGCCAGTATCTTTCTTCTGCACTAATCGAACCTGTTAAAAGAAAAAATCCCTGACAACTACAGCATGTACATTATTTCAGATTTTTGCAACAAGCAAAAGTAATGAAAAGAAATGTACACTAATTACACACACAATATTTTTTAAATTATGTGCAGTAATGTAATTGGCTATTTTTTTTTTTTGCATACTGTATATCTAAATACTATTTGCAAATTGAATTAGATGGGCTTAATTTTGGAAAGGTTTCAGAAAACAGTAGCTTTTGTAAGGTACACATGACTACTCCTTTCCCTAATTATTTACACTACAGTGACACTTGACACATTGTTTAATGTTCTCTATCTCCATATCATTTTTTCTGTAAATGCAGTTCCCAATTCCTTGTCGTTCTTTTTTATCCATTACTTTGGCCTATTTCCTATATTTGTTGAGGGCACTGTTCACCCTTTTCACATTTCCTTGTTTTGAGAAGCAAGCAAGCAAGAAATATTAGTTTTCTTGTAGGTCAATTCAGCATATGTGGAATTCTCTACCAAGCATCGCAGGTGTTCTTTTCTGTCTTCAAATTGAATATGTGAAGGCATCAACTCTGCACTTAAAAAAAAAAAAAAAAAAAAAAAAAAAAAGTTCTACCAGTGTTAGAGACTAAACTAGAGAACAGATGCAATACTCAAATAGTATTTAAATTAGTTTATTTCTGCTTGCATTATAAATAACTCCATTATAAATAACTCCAACCAACTACCTACCTATACTTCTAGTCCTATCAAAACTTTACTCCAATTCTTAGCAGAAAAAAACAACTCATATGTTTCATACCTCACCAAATGCTCCTCTACCAATAACTTTCAGAGCTTCAAAATCCTCTACACCCAGTCGAGATCTCTTAAGACGAAGGAACTCTGTCTCCTTTTGTGCATGCTGTTGCCGTTTTTCTTGCTTCTGGTCCTCCGACAGACCTTCCTCTTTCATGCTCTCCTCCAGTTTATCTTGTCTGCAACCAAAAAAATTAGTTATAACTAAGCCAGTAAACCATACATTTCACAAACTAACAGGGTAGGGGGTGGCTGGTAATAGTGAGTGTAGTGAACAGAGATGAGATTGTTTTGTGACTGTAACAATAAGGGACAATTATGTAACTAATGAACTTTGCCGTTTTCAAATCAAATGACCCAGCAGATTCTGTTCCACATTTCCACAAGCCATTAAATCAAGGTCCATCATATTTATGGTTTACTTTACTGTGTAATCTTTTCATTAAATACATTACATATCTCCAAAGGGGTACCTTAAGTGACTTACAATTTTTTTTCTTCTTCCTCCAAGGTTTTTGTTTATAACTTACAAATGCCTCATCCAAACAACTTTAAATTTTCAACATTGGTGAACTGCAATTAGGAAAAAGACATGCAACTACTGAAATGTGCAAGTGCCCTTTGATCAATTTTTTATAGTCTAGACTATTCCACAAGCCTCTTTAGACCAGTTTCCAATTTTCAACACTATGTAGTGTATCCTACTTAGCAGGTTGGGTTCATTATTGTAGTGTGTACAGCTGTCAGTTTTATTTTTAAAATAACATAGTATCTTTTCTGTGAAATAACTTTAAGAGCTTCAACTTCAAAAGGCTACTGCATCTTATGGATAGGATGGTCATAAGTTTAGGCTGTTTATATGTAAGAGCATGCTGCTCTTACCTGTATTTTTTTGTACCTCTGTATGTATGTTAATGTTGCAGTTTAAAAACTGTAGTGTAAAGCACCCTTCTGGCAAGACAGTGATGGAGTGAATGATGGTGAAAGTTTTTCTTTTTCGGGCCACCCTGCCTTGGTGGGAATCGGCCAGTGTGATAATAAAAAAAAAATAAAAAAATAACTGGAATTGCTGGATTCCATGCAATAACTGGAGAATGCTTCCCCTGATCAGTTCCAAACTTTCAGTAATGTTCTGCTTTGCTCAAAGAAAGTGAGATGCAACAGTTGGAGATGACATCACTGGAGGCAGGGCCCACCAGCAGGCAAAATGGCTTATGCTAAGCATGCCCTCTCAAATTCAACCCATCTCACATATAAGAGCATACCAATAAGTTGCAAAGCAATAGAGTTGTGGATGTTAGATACTGTTGTGTTGCTATGCCAAACAAGTATCATTATATTAATGGTAAACAATACCAACAAGTAGGTGAATAAGAGACATGTGCAACATTTTGGTATCTTTATTTCTGAAATGCTTTGCCTGCACAGCTGGCTTCTTCAGTATAATTCAGGAGTGACTAATATACTGGAGATGGATGAAGAGACTGAGGTGGGTAGTCCCTGCTCTCAGTGCTTCAGAAATAAAAATACTGATGTGCTGCACATCTTATTCATCTACTTATCAGAACTGTGTGTACCAACCCTTGTGTACAGCATGATGAGTGTCTCTCATGCCACCAGGGTCTCTAAGCAAGTAGCACTACATCCGTGGCACATGCATGGATCAGTCAGTGCACACTAACAGCCATAGACACAACAAGTTTTGAATCCAAGAGGCCTAGAGTAAAGATGTGTGGCTGCAGCTTTTCCTTAATGCCATTACCCAGGATAGTGAACCCACTGTCTACCCACAAGTGACCATTACAATGATGGTGACTGTCTTCTTCTTTGGTAAGTGGCTAAAGTGTTAAAAACCGATAGGCTTGCCAGGGTCCCTTAGGCCAAGAATAAGCCCATTCTAAGGATGCACCTGAAGTTGAACACTTGGTGTTAAGTGAACAGGGGCAGCTGGTGAAAGATTTGTCCATGCATCTCACTATGCCCAGGAACTGAACTCAAAACATTTTTGTGAATTTAACAAACATGAAAAATTAACTTCAATAGCAGGTAATGCTTTTTACTTATACACAGTAATCAGTATTGGTAGTATACAAGCTAAAAATCAAAAGCATGTGCTTTGTGATATTTACCTTTGTTTTCTTTCTAAGTGTTGTGCTATAAGGTTGGAGTAATAGTTCTCCAGTGTGACCTTTGCCTTTGTGGCCTTGTCGAGGGTGTGGCCGCTGAAACGAACCTGACCCTCTGTAGTCGCCATCCGCCCCACCCCTGAAATGATTAAGAAAAAAAAAATGGTAAAATACACATTTACATTAAAGTGACATTTGGCAACTACAAATACATACTGCACATTATACTGACTACAGTATTAAATCACTAAATCAAAGAATAGTGTAAAATAAAACTCCATAATTTACCAATGGTGTCCCAAAAAAGATCAAAAAATATTCTTCAATGAATGTATACCCAAGACACACCTATGACTTGCTTTAAGAGTTCTTCTACCTTGAAGTCAAGCCTGAGGTTAGACTTTATTGATGGCTGCCTAATCAACCAGACTGAAGCTGTTATTGGTCACCAGGATTAAATAACCATCACAACCTGGTTTATTTGGCATTTTTAGCAGCTAACAGTTCAGTTTCCTTTTGAAAGTTTCTAACTTTTGTTTCCAGAATTTATTTTGCAATATCTACTAGTTAGAGACTGAAGAGTAAGTCATTAGTATTTTCTCTTTCCCCCTCTCTCCCTAAAGAGCCATCTTTGATTAAAAACAAAATTATATCATCTGGGTGAAACTGTCTTACTGTAGCATTAGTATACATTCTTGCCTGGAGGTTACCTGGAGGTTATTCCGGGGATCAACGCCCCCGCAGCCCGGTCCATGACCAGGCCTCCCGATGGATCAGGGCCTGATCAACTAGGCTGTTACTGCTGGCCGCACGCAGTCCAACGTACGAGCCACAGCCCGGCTGATCCGGCACTGACTTTAGGTATCTGTCCAGCTCTCTCTTGAAGGCAGCCAGGGGTTTATTGGCAATTCCCCTAATGCTTGATGGGAGGCTGTTGAACAGTTTTGGGCCCCGGACACTTATGGTGTTTTCTCTTAGTGTACCAATGGCGCCCCTACTTTTTATTGGCGGCACTTTGCATCGCCTGCCCAGTCTTTTACTTTCGTAGGAAGTGATTTCTGTGTGCAGATTTGGGACCATTCCTTCCAAGATTTTCCAAGTGTAGATTATGATATATCTCCCCCTCCTGCGTTCCAACGAGTACAAGTCAAGTGCTTCCAAGCGTTCCCAGTAGTTAAGGTGCTTGACAGAACTTATACGTGCAGTAAAGGATCTCTGTACACTCTCTAGATCTGCGATTTCACCTGCTTTGTATGGAGATGTTAATGTACAGCAGTATTCCAGCCTAGAGAGAACAAGTGATTTGAAAAGGATCATTATGGGCTTGGCATCTCTCGTTTTGAAAGTTCTCATTATCCATCCTATCATTTTCTTTGCACGTGCGATCGTGGCACTGTTGTGATCCTTGAAAGTGAGATCCTCAGACATTACTACTCCCAGGTCCCTTACATTATTTTTCCGCTCTATTGTATGGCCGGAGTCAGTAGTATACTCTGTTCTAGTTATTATCTCCTCCAGTTTTCCATAACGGAGTAGTTGGAATTTGTCCTCATTGAACATCATATTGTTTACCGTTGCCCACTGGAAAACTTTGTTTATATCTTCTTGGAGGTTAACCGCATCCTCAGCAGATGACAGCCTCATGCAGATCCTAATATCATCCGCAAAGGATGATACGGTGCTGTGGTGTATATCTCTGTTTATGTCTGATATGAGGATAAGGAATAAGATGGGGGTGAGTACTGTGCCTTGTGGAACAGAGCTCTTCACTATGGCAGCCTCCGATTTAACTCTGTTGACCACTACTCTTTGTGTTCGATTTGTTAGGAAGTTGAAGATCCATCTCCCCACTTTCCCAGTTATTCCTTTAGCACGTATTTTATGGGCTATTACGCCAGGATGTAATTAAGGCCTGTGCATTAATTACATGTATTATGCAGTTTAAATTACTTTCCTCCTCACCTTCCTGTCTCCTATATTGTACATAATTGTTCTGTCTCCCCACCCCATGTACTGATGGAGATTTTTTTTTAAACACGCTGGCAGTCTCCCACCGAGGCTAGGTGACCCAACAAAGACTTTCACCACGAGTCACAGCAATCACTGTCTTTGCAAAGGCGCACGGATATGACAGTTCATATGTCGCTCCAAACAGCAAATATCCCAAAACCCTCCTTTTAAAGTGTAGGCATTGTACTTCCCACCTCCAGGACTCAAGTCCAGCTAACCGGTTTCCCTGAATCCCTTCACAAAATATTACCCTGCTCACACTCTAACAGCTCGTCAAGTCCAAAAAATCACTCGTCTCCACTTCTGTTTTCATAAAAAAAAAAAAAACTCTCCTGTGGATGGGACAGGCCATCTTGAGAGATGTATATCTTAAGTAATAGTAACTCCAGCTCTCCTCAAAGGAAAACTTGGAAGCCCCTGTAGCTGATGAATCTTTAATAGAATATTTGACGATTATTATTATAATCAAGGGGGAAGCGCTAAACCCGGAGGATTATACGGCGCCTGGGGGGATGTGGAAGGCATTCAGGCTTAATTCGGAGAACTGGAGCACAGATCCAATTCCCTAAATCAAGAGCCCCTCACCAACATCAAGGAACCTTCCTTGAGGGGAATATTGACGAAACCCTCTCTGCTCTACTGAAGACTCCCAGCTCAGGCTGGGACGCAAATAACATCTAAAAACTAAAATAAGTAAGTTGTATAAAACCAAATACTGGAAAATACCAGACACTAATTAATTCCTGTAATTATAAGCTCATTAACGCTTTTGTATTCTAATGGACGACTGGCCTTCATCCCCCCACCCCCAAGTATCCTTCCCCTCTAACACCCTCCCCCCACGTTTTACTTCAATACCCAAATGAGGATCTAACACTCACGTGAAGTGTCTTCACTTGACACTCAAGTGTCTTCACTGCGTTGGTCCCGGCCTGGGTTTTTTCCATGGGGTAACCCGGTATTGGGTTCCCGTTGAGGGAGTGTCATCATGTCTTCTTGGACTCTCGAAGTCTTGCTCAGGGAAGACGTGGTTTTTTTTGTCTTGCTGTCCACAATGGCGTAAACTGTATGTGGCATAAACTCATGTGGGTCATCCATTATTATAATTATTTTCAGAGCTAGATCCGAAAACGTAAGTCATCCAGCGAAAGTAGTAAAATAATATCCTCAGTTCTCCAACTGCAGCTCAATCTCTGTCCAGTCAGCTTGGAACTATCACATCTTTAAATGTGACGTCACAGGGTGAGTGTCCAGCATACTGACAGTCAAATATCTGCTGTCTTTACTTTCAGTGAGGCTTAACAAAACTAACTGTTTATTTGAAGCATAATACTGTACACCACCACTACCACTATTCAGTAATAATATAATAATTTACATATTCAACATTTATACAAGAATTCTGAAGCAATGGCTCATTAAACTGTATTTGAAATTTGTGCTCATATTATGTGGCATGTAGCAAAACACTGTTGCATGTGACAACCGTGCACACGCATCTCAATCTGGGAGCTGCGCTGGCGAGGGGGAAGGGGGGAAACTAGAGATAACAATTTTCAGACCTCACTGGGCATAGTTACACCGTTAAGATATTACAGTCATTTTATATATCACAATTTCATCTTACAGTTATCATCTACTGAATGCAAAATATAAATATTGTAGTCATAAAAAAAAAAAAAAACTGCCACTACAAACATTGGTCACTTCCCAGGTTAGAATCCCATAAAACAAGATCATTCACGTAGCCAGTGTGAATACAATCTGGAGATTAACAACGATGTGATTTATCTTTTCGTTTGAACGTGTCCCTAAATGGGTGGATGCTTGCACACTAAAATCTAACATTCCGGTGTTTGGCTTCTTTCTCTGTAGATGAATGGTTCAGAGAACCGACAATTTGATAAATTACTCACATGTGCAACACTTGGGTATCTTTAATGAGGAAACATTTCGCCACACAGTGACTTCATCAGTCCACACAAAGGAGAATGGTGAAAAACAGGAGGATTTGAGGTAATCAGTCCCTCAGCCTTGAGTCGACGTCTACATGCCTGTGACACAGCAACATCTTGGGATCTTAATACAGGGAATTCTTCACTTGCCTAACCCTTGGACATGACCTACTTCCACAGTGGTCAAATGTGATACCACCTACGACTGCTGCACCTCTCCTGCCTACAGTATATAAGCCGCCACTTCTTCGCATATATGTTGTATTCTTTTCAATATTGATGGACTGATTACATCGACTCAAGGCTGAGGGACTGATTACCTCAAACTCCTGTTTTTCACCATTTTCCTTAGTATGGACTGATGAAGCCACTGTGTGGCGAAACGTTTCCTCATTAAAGATACCCAAGTGTTGCACACGTGTCTAATTTATCATTCTTTCTCTGTCAATGCACTTTCTGTTTTACGTACAAACAGCCAAAGATAACAATCGCCAAACACTAACATTTTGTTATTCTCCCAATAGACTTGTTATATTTGACGTTTTATTATGACAGGCAATGATCTGCTAGTTAGTAGCCATACTGTTCTGCTTCTTTAAACTCATCTGTTAGTTCTTTTCTAACAATGATTCTTAAACCTCTGAGAAACTAAAATTATATATGACATTATCTTTGCTTTGATTATTTCTAAAGAACAGATTTTATCATGTTCCCAGAAGCCTGCCCGTATATTAAAGGGAACACATTAGTTTAATCCCTTTATCGATAATTTGTGCATATCTGACTGGGTGGATAATGAGAACTTTCAAAACAAGGGAAATGGTACCAATAATGACACTTTACAAATCGCTTGTGCTCTCTCGTTTAGTGTTCAGTGTTGATGGTCCCGTTCAGATCAGGAGTGATTTCAGAACTGGAATACACACAGTAATCACTTATGTCCCGCATAGAACCAATAAAGCATTTAATACTGGGAACGCTTTAAAGTCTTCAAATTTGTACACATTAGAGCGGAGGAGAACTACATGATGATATATACCTGGAAAGTACTTGAGGGTCGGGTCCCCAAACCTGCACACTGCCATAACATTTACTGAAGTGAGAGATATGAAAGTGCAAAATAAACTCGGTAAACAGTAGGGGCACCGTGGGAACAACAAGAGAGCATTATATC